ATTTGTCACGATTAACGCTAATCGATACGATAAATGCCGACATTTATTCCCAGGGCTGGTCAATAAATCAGTATCAGTCAGAGCGGTGGCCGAATTCAGGGTCTGAACGATTCGAAGGACGGATTTGTAGGCCGATGAGGTCATGGCGTGGATTTGTAGGCTGATGAGGTCATGGCGTGGATTTGTAGGCCGATGAGGTCATGGCGTGGATTTGTAGGCTGATGAGGTCATGGCGTGTTCTGTCCGACGGAGAACGCCTGACTCCGGCACATGGCTGCAAAAACTCCCGCCAGCTTTCCCAAAGAGTGGAAGTTAAACACCGAGATTATTCAGAGAAGTAATATCTAGTTGTAAAATGTTTGGTTTACTAAAGTATTTAATTTATTCCTGAGCAAATCGGTTTGATTGATTAAAGTGAAACTTTCAAACATACTAGCTTTATTTAACTGCTTATCCCAGATTTGGAGAGTATTATATTTGAAAACGAATAATTTGCTTCTATTTATTCCTGGTAGAAATGTGCAAAACATGTTTTACTATGGAACAGCCGTTACTAAAAGGTGAAGAATAATACAGACATCAGGAGTAAAAAACAAACTTTCAATATCTGATCAATGTCAATAGATAGAATATTCAGTAATTCTGATCCAGAACTGCAAAGCATTCTGGGAGATGTAGGGAGAGGAAGGACTTTAGCTGCTCAACCTTACAGTGGTAGTTAAACTAGGATCAACTAACGCACTCACTCTTTGGTTACCTAGCAACTCACTCACTCTTTGGTTACCTAGCAACTCACTCACTCTTGGTTACCTAGCAACTCACTCACTCTTTGGTTACTAGCAACTCACTCACTCTTTGGTTACCTAGCAACTCACTCACTCTTTGGTTACCTAGCAACTCACTCACTCTTTGGTTACCTAGCAACAACACGTTGCGTAACCGGCGCTGCAGCAGTTTAAGGTTTTGCTTCTTAAAAACAACAAGAAAAACGCAGCAGAGTGAAAATTGGATAAAACAGGAACCGTCGCTCTGTAAGTTCTGCAATATTTCAGATATTTAAAACAAAAAGCTGATCAATAATTATCGATGTTGACTGATCGAAACGCTTGTATTGTGACACGTTTATTGTCCTGCCATACCGACTCTTAACTGATTCTTTAATCTAGGTTCATATGTTTACATGTTTCCAGAAGAAGTCTGAACATCCTCTTCAGAAAACCGTGTCTTCAGTCAGAGGCTTCTTCAAATTTGCTGTAGCACAGACAGGAACAGGAAATCTTTTGTAGATAGCCGTCGCCATCTACTTGGAAGAATTTCAATTTGAATGAGTTACAACAGCATTTAGTTTCCACTCAGGATAATTAAAGTATTTTTCAAATTGAATTTGTCGCTGTTAAGATACTGACTGCTCCGAGCTACCCCGCATAACCACATTTTAAATCGGACCTTTAGGTTAAATTCAACTCCGAAACTCAGACACCGGCAGGAAAACCGCACAGGAACATGAAGTAGCATCTGTTAAGTCGGTAGTTTGACCCTCACTGCATTCCTTAGCTGCACGATGCCTTCTGTTTTCTTCTGTCTCATCCAGTCTGTCTGTTTTTTTATTTTATTTTTTAAACGAAGCTGCGGCTGCGCATCACTTCCTGTTCTCGTGTGAAGACTTGAAACGGACTCGTGGCGACCACGTGCTTTCTGTCAACAGTGTTTATTTTTTCATGGAAGTCACCTCAACGTGTAAAACTCTGATCAGAGATGATGTATTTATTGTACAGTTCTTGTCTTTACATTGTTGTCTCACGACTGATTGATGGCTGTTTTTGTTACCCTGAAATACAGAAACATTTTGGTTCACATGGAAATGAAACGGATCTGTGTTTCTGTTGCCTGACGGATAATCTCAGTCTGGAAGCTGCAAATGTTCAGCTGGGTTTTGGATCAAGACTCGTTCGCATTTAGGCACCAAGATGGCCGAAAATAATGAACATACAGTGAGACGCGATGGTGTATTAGCGCCACGCTAAGAAAATAATAATAACCCATAAAATTATGAGAATAAAACTCACATGAGAATAAAGATAAATTTAGTTTTATTTCGACTTTGCTATATGAATAAACTTGATTACTTTATTCTCATAATTTTACAACTTTTCTCGTTTTGACTTTATTCTCATAATTTTTTATTTAATTTTTTCTTATTTTGGCCCTAAACTCCTTTGTACAAAGATTATTCAGACCCAGAAGAAAAAAACTGGCTGCAGAATCAACTAAAATATGATCCATTTAAATTCATGAGAAGGGAGGTTGTGAGTTTCCTCATCCATCCTTTCGTTTCGAGTTTTCTTTTTAAATTTGTGCGGCTTTTATTCGTGTTTTGGCTTAAAAGGATCAAATCTGGAAAACCTCACATTGAGAACATAGATTTAGTCCAGGTCACCTTTAAATATTCCTCGTTATTCTTAAAATTCAGATGAAAATCTTGGGTCAGGTTCTTGTTTTCTGCCAGATTCTCAGCAGAGACCAGAATCTTCTCCCAGTTTAGATTTGTTTTCTTTTTACCGTGTAAATTGTATCTTTAAAACATCAAATCTGAAAGTTTTATCAACTTATTGTGCCTGTTTTATTCTCTACAGAGGTCTAGCTTAAGTTCTGGCTCAGACCACAAACCCTCAGTGATGAATGCAGCTTCAAATGCAGTTTGGTGTCTGAATAAACTCACCGCTCATCACGTTGGCGTTGCTGAACAAAGTGCAATGTAAAGGTCAAAGGTCACAGGAAGCATCTGATCCTGACACTGCAAACCCATTCTAGCTAGAAAATGTAAATCACCTGGACTTCATGGGGGTTTTATCTCATTTGGTTACTTTTGTTTCTTATTGTTCTCTATAGCGCTCTATATTCCCATGTGGACCAATCTGACAAGTCAAAACATGGTATGTGTGATCTTTTATCGTGCAAAAAAGATGACTTTCAAGTTCTCCTTGTCTGTCGTAGATCATTTATGTTCTTGGTGACCAAATTTAAGGTTTGGTGAATATTTAAACCTTCAACTGGGTTTCTGTGTCTCGGATCGACGATGGCGCTTTACGGCTACAGTGGATAGAAATAATCTAGAACATTTACGCCAAAAGCTCAAAATGTTCAGAATCATCTAAAAAATAGCTAGAAATAAGGTGGAAATTTCTGAGCTCTGAAAGTTGAAAATGTGGGATAAACTGAAAATTTCAAAAGAAATTTCTAGAAAAACCTTGGCAATTGTTGAGCTCCAAAAGTCAAAAATTTGTGACAAAAAACTCAAAAAAATTTCGATTAATTTGAGAAGAATTCTAGAAAAACCTGTTAATTTGTTGAGCTATAAAAATTGGAGATTTGCAAAAAAAAAAAACAACTCAGAAATGGTTTATTAATTTCAGCAAGAAATGTAGAAAAAACTTGTTTTTGAATTTCTAAAAATGTCCTGAGTTTCTTGGCTGAAACTTTTGATTTTAATCTCAAAACTTAAATTTTTTTTATTCTTTTATTTTTCATTAGCGTACATTGACTAAAACTTTATACTATTATCCTGTGATGTTACCAAAACGCACTACAATTCATGCATGTTTTTCTCCAGCAGTTTTCAGGCAAGAGAAAATAATCAGAAACTGGCCGCCGGGCAACAGCACCACCAACTGCGCCCCCTGTTGGGCAACAATGAAATGACTGAAAGAAATCACACCATCCAAAAGTTTAAAACAATAGCAGCTTGTTTTAATCTTGTCAGATTATTTCATGGTGATCAGAAAATAAAACAAACAAAAGCAAAAATCTTACATGTTGAAGGAAAAATGCATGAGAAGAAAATGTGCAGTTTTGTTTTGAAAGTTATGAAAAAATTCGGCGGATTTTTTATGTTTTTCTTTGTAAAGCTTTTTCACATCTGAACCCAGAATAATCTGATAATATAAAAATACACATTTACAGAGCGACACATTCATGTTGTGGAAACATTTCCCATTTCGTCTCTTAAGAAAAGTGATAATATTAATTTGGTGGGAAAAAAGAAGAGATTTTATTTGCTCTGGAGAAAAAAGGAAGAACTCACATGTTGCCATGCAAGCTTTACTGTGCAATATCAGATAAATCATCATCAAAATATTACATCTCAATTATATTACACACAAACCGACAAACTGCGAGATAGTTTGGACTAAACAAGCAGCGTTATTATCAGCCATTAAGATGCACCAGAAAAACTCCTTTCATCTCTTTGCAAAAATTAAAAAAACCAAACTACCAAATAACAACCTTTGACAATAAACCAGCTGAAGTTCTGCAGATATTTTTACTGGCTTACTGGTGGATTTGTGGAAAATATTGCAGCAAGAAATATTGTAGGTCACTTTAAACCTCATAAAAATTATTAAATTTAAAATTTTCAACGACCAAAAAAGAGACTATTTGCACTTTTGCCCATTTTTCTCCAATATATTCAAAATTCACAAGTTCAAAGTTGGATAAAAACATGTGAGAAACCTCCGGAGGTTTTCAGTTTCATTCCTGAAACGTCCAACATGGCCGCTGCGGAGAAACATTATACGTCAGTAAATCCTGTTAAATTCATGACAGTAATCTCTGTTATTCCCAGATCCGCGTTCCAGTTGTCCGACTGCTTTGAACGCATCATTTCTCAGGCTGAATCTCCAATCTGGTTTCAGTGATAAATGAACTAACTTTGATTTTATTTCTTGTTTCTTATTTTCAGTCTTATTTTTGTCTTCAAATAAGACCGAATAAGACTTCAAATCTGGACTTTGACTATGCCATTTCAGCACACTAAGCAATAATATAATCACAACTTGAGATGAGTGACCATTTTTCCTAAATCAAGTGGATAATATTTCACTTTAACGCTTTTATCCAAACATTTATTTTTCATGTAATCAGTTTGAATGATGTTTGCAATAAATTTAACCAGGATGGAATTTGATTAATTGAATGAAAAAGAGGTAAATTCAGATCAGTGCAGCTCCTACTTTGATTTAATGTTTGGAAAACACATTTTATTCTCACATCATGGGGATAAACTGAGCAGTCGGCTCAGGCTGCTTTTGTCCTCTGTGGTTCTGGTTCTGGTTCGGCGGGCCAACATGGTGCTGGATCCGGTTCAGCCGCCGGTGGAGTCTGTTGTTGCGTTAGCCGAGAGGCTGGCGAGGAATCGCTGTCGTTTCCTCTCCCTCTTTCTGCCAAGTCCTCCTTTTTTATTCCGTCTTTTCTCTGACAAAGACAAACGGCAGAGGAGAAAAACGGGACATGAAAACTATGAAGGTCAAATATTTCCCATCGTTTCACCTGCGGCGAACCGTTGGATCTGTCGTTAGCATCAGAGATGGACAGATAGAAACTCCACCTGTTTATTGTTGAGCCATAATAAATGAAACATGATTTCTATGATAGCGCTTGTCAAAATGTAATATTTGCTTCTGGTTTCTTAATTGGTGGCTGTAAAACATTTTTATTTTTGTGTTTTTATGATGTAAAGCATTTTGAGTTGCCTTGTTTAAATATGCTCTACACATAAACTTAATTGACTGATTTATATTAGTTTTGTCTTATAGGTTATGAATTTCTCTATATTTCAGAACATTTATGATCCTTTCTATAAATTGGGGCAGTCTAATGTGTGGCCTGGGGTCCATTTATAGCCCAGGAAATGATTTTATTTGGCCTTTGACTTTAAGACAAAAATGATCAGGAAAAAGTTTCAATTATAAAAAAAATTGAGAGAGGGAAGTATGCCCAGTCATGCTAGCTTGACTATGCCAACCTTAGCATATAGATGTGACGTAGAATTTGATGTGTTTTGGTTCAGTTAAAAAATAAAAAACAGATGATCTACCACAGCTGTGTTAGCTTATAGCCATGGTAGCTGATCTACCACAGCTGTGTTAGCTTATAGCCATGGTAGCTATCTACCAGCTGTGTTAGCTTAGCTTGCTGGTAGCTAATCTACCACAGCTGTGTTAGCTTAGCTAATAGCTGCGGTAGCTGATCTACCACCGCTGTGTTAGCTTAGCTAATAGCTGCGGTAGCTGATCTACCACCGCTGTGTTAGCTTAGCTAATAGCTGCGGTAGCTAATCTACCACAGCAATCATTTTGCAATAATAGCAAAACACAGAGGGAGAAATGTTTATATGGTTTTTGGTGTTGAATCCTGAAGCATAGTTGTTGTCAGTTGCTACAGCAATGAGTCTGTGTGTAGCGTAGCCGACAGACAGCGAGACAAAAGTGGTTTTGAGTTGTTTTTCATCCGTTTTCTGCTGTATTTTTCCCTTTCCTGCTGCGCAAAGCACTAACTTAATGATGCCAACATTTAGTTAACGGTTTGTTCCACTGCAGCTGTGGATGAGGAGTCAAGAATCATCGTTTCGCCTTCCAGCGTTGAGGGCAACATTTCTGGATGTAAGCAATAACATGTAAAAGGAGTCCATAACAAGAGGAGTTTATTGTAATAAGGCTTTACATAATCCTGTTTCATAAATAAATAAAATGGTAAATTTGTTTTTCCTCCAGTGACTCTTCAAACGTCGGGAGGAAAAATGTTTTCTGGCTCTGCTGATGCGTCTCAGGTGTTCTCCATCCTCATATGGCGGTTCAGGCCCGACACCCGCAGGATTTTTGGGAACTCATCCATCATTTGGCCAGAAGAAGAAGAAGAAGAGTCCTCCAGGTTGAGTGTCAGGTAAATATTCTGGGTGATGTATCGCTGCTTTGATGGTTGGCTGCAGAGATTATACGATGCTTTTACAGCATAGGGACTCCAGATCACACTGCTACATATTTTCAGATTTTTACACCATAACTCATGTATGAGATCAGGTGTGATGATTCGGGTCCGGCTTGGATGGATAAGCTGCTGCTCTGGCTTCACCTCCTTTGGCTGCAGTTTAAAAAGAATCAGATTTACTGCAGCAGTGAGAACATTTTGAGGGTTTTGTTTTTTGTGTCGTATGTTGGTTTTTTTTGAGAATAGGATGCAGAGGAAGCAGAAAATGTCAACGTTTTTCCCCTGACCTGATTTTTCTGCTGATTCCTGGTGAACTTTGATTTGATGATGCTGATGATGAGGAGTTCATCCAATCAGAAGCCGCCGTCTGCTCTTCGTTACGATCGCAGAACAAGAAGCTTTCATGACTCTCCATGTCTTTTTTTCTCATGTTCTTTGTCGTTGTTTGAATTTTTAAGATAATTTGTTTGCAATTAAATTTGTTTTTAAAGTGTGGGTTAAATGCAGATGTGCACAAAACTTTGTTCATAAATGTCAGAAAAACACAATTTCACAATTGCATTATTAAATAAGAATGAAATTAAGATCAGACATGAACAAGTAGTTTATGTGATAAGTTTTTAGAAATCATCCTCCAACCAATTTCTTTGCTAGCGGTAGAAAAAAATTAGGCAAATAGGAATTAAAAAATACATTTACTAAACAGAAACACAACAATTCTGACAAAAACGTTGACAAAATGTTTTTGCACTGGGATGAGGTGGCTCTCATCGTTTCAACACTAGTGCATCACTCAAACCTGCAACAGAAACTTTTTTTTGTATCACATGATCAACAACCAGCTGTTACTACAGAAACGACAAAGACAGAAAGTGGAAGAAGGATGATACTTTTTAAAATGGCGTAAACAAACCTATTCACCTTAAATGCGTTTCTTTCGTCATGTAAAGACAACAGTTGCAAAACTGTGTTTTTTCGACATTCGTGGAATAATGTTGATATTTCATATCGAGGAAGTTTGGCTCAGATTTGAATCGCGAGTCCAATTCTCCTGACCTTTGCCCTTCTGGTCCTAAACCAGAATCTGAGCTCGACTTCTCACTTCTGGGACTTTTGTCTTTCATAGATCTAGTTAATACTGGAAAAAAATTCATTTAATTTTACACCCTTTTCTTCTGAGACAGAGATGGTTAATATAATTATTTCTGCCTTTTTTATGACATAAATCTGAAGTTTATTTACTAAACAAAACTGTGCTCAGTGTTTCCAAACATTCATGACTTTCTAAGTAATTAATTGTCTAATATTAAAGAGTGAAAGTGGTTTAAATGTTTATCAAACAGCATTAAGTTCTTACACTGAATTTAAGACAGAATAAAAATTGGAAAACATTTCCACTTTACATTCCTGTAAAATCCTCAAATTTAACCAATAATTTTGCCAAACCTAAAAACACAGGATCAGCAGATCAGTATTGTGTAATAAAGTGAACTTTGTGAATGTTTGTAACTTTCTGCAGTGATATTTCTCCAGAATATTTCTGAAAACTATGAATCTTTGCAAATGTTTTATGACTATCTGTTGTCTCCAGCTGCAGTGGTCTCTCTCTGTTTTGGGTCTTTTTGGCATCTTAAATACTCGATTATTGGTTTTTACATCAGTCACTTTTAAATTTATTCCAACCCACAGCAGTAAAAAGGAGAAATCCCAGATTTACATGCAACAGTGACGTAAATGCAGTCTTGTTTTTGCAACGTGATGCTTGCTTCAGGAAACCAAACATGCACATCTGTAAAGCTCCTCAGCGATTATCAGAACTGTTTCAGGCAGAAAGTTGGAAAACCGCCCAGTTGGTGGCGCTGTGACCAAACCTCAAACCAAACTCACAGGCAAACATACAAGGACTTTATGGAACTAAATGAGAATGAAAGTTTGTGTTTAGTTCAGCTGAACTCCATAGATGATCAGAAAAGACAAGATTATCTGCAGGATCCCAAACTGGGCGATTGTTTTTAAGGTCCAGTTTTCTTGATTTCATACAAATCCGACTGGCAGCACCAACATTTGTAGTGGTTTCTTTTTTTGTAAAAGTGGTTAAACACATTAAAGAGACTAAATGTTACCCCTTAATCCAGATCTCTATGCTCAAACTACATATTTAATTAGAAATCTGAATATTGAATCTGGAGTCTGAATATTTCGCTCGTTTAGCTCGACAGTGAAACCTGACATGCATATTCACTGGCTGCTTGCAGAAAGTGGACGACTTGGTTTGTAAACTAACTATTCAGCTTGCGAATTAGTTTGTCAATTTTAATATGTAAACAAATCAATAACATAAGCTTGTTATTTTTTGCTTTGACAGATTAAATAACCCAGATTATTGTTGTTAAATTTTGACTTTGTAACTTTACAAACAGGAGATTTTTTGCGACCTTTAACCTTTACATGATCTTGATCAAATCAGTCCAAAACTTTAAAACTCGCACAAAGAGATAAAAATCGTATTTCACTGTAATTTGTTGCAATCATTGAGCCTCGATGGCATCAAAACCCAAACTGACCTTTTAAATGCAGCAAGTATCCAAGCAAGACTGGAAAACGACCAGAACTTCGCAAACACGAATAAAAGTTGGAGGATTTTCCAAAAATCCTGGTGTTATCCTCTCAATGCGTTGGACCCTTTGGAAAACAGTCGTAGTCAGAACCACATGTTGCGGTGGAAGAAAGAAAAGCACTGTACATGGGTACAACGGGTAATAAATCAGCATGAAGCTTTAAACGGTATGGAGCCATGCGGGCGAGCGCGGGAACGGGGGAACCGACCGCCGGGTCACGCAGACCCGAACACGCATCATCACTAATATGTGCAAGTCTGAATACAGGTTGGTCTGTTCTGGTCGTTAATTTGATTGTGAACCTTAAAACAAACATGCTAAAGGCTTTTTTGCGATGCTAACGATGGCCTCCCTCCTGAAATAAAAACACAGAAACCACAGCTGAGCCGATTTCCAGCTGCAACGTCGAACCCAAGCCGCCGCAAAAGGATCTGCGTTTGAAGTGCAGAATGAGCTGCAGGCCAGACACGATCAAATAACAAACGGGGTCGTGATTTGCCCCTGTTAGCGCTACGAAACGTAGCTCTGCTTTAATTTCACCTCTTTTACTGTGTGCGGTTTCCAGGTTGGCACTGAGATCCGCCAGACGTGCGGTTTGGTGGCACCGAGACAAAAACTGCGGCCCATGTTGAGATTTTCATTAAGAACCTGCTCAACTCCACATAATTACTGCATGAACTCGTGCATTACTCTTAGAAAATTCTGATTTTATCTCCTCAGAACAGAAACACAGCAAAAATATTTTAGAAAAGAACACTCACTTATTTTTACAGATCAATTTACACAGCAAGAAAATTTAGCTTAAATATAAATATATTTTCAGTTGTATAATTCCTCCTACTTCAATTATTCACTTAAAAATAAGTCTGT